TCGTCCTGTTTAGGACTTCCTCATCTGCATTTCACACACAGTCAGTAATAATGTACCCATTGAGGCTCAAACCTGGCACTCATCATCGTTTCAAAACGCGCCGAAGTGTTACCCCAGTAGACCAACTTTGGCCATGATAGCCACACCTCTTATACACCGGATGTTAGCCATTTATTTTTTTCAACACACCACTGCTAGTCACTAGTATTCATCAGATTACAACCTAGAGAGAGAGCCAAATGTCTAAAAGGACAAATCGATTCTGAAAGTGTCGCTAAACTTAGTTATGCCTATTAATATATTTGTAAAACTTGGGCACTGTGGTAGTAAGTAATTCCATATTAGTTTGTTTATTAGATGTATCACACTGTGAGTGAAACAGTATTATTATTTACTGGATGACACAGTTTCGAACAAAATTTATTGTTCATAATCATATCAATTGTGGTCACACGACTTTGAAACTTGAGTTTTATAGTTTTCTTTGTACTCTCCTATTTTTCGTCGCTCGGGTAGTAGAATTTTCTAGATATCTGGGTGGACAGGTGTTGAATCATTCTTGTTACATGTATTTTCATTCAGTTGATTCGATAAACAAGCTTCCGTTGTCAATCTCTCCCTCCAACCTGTTATATTCGATTTTAAAACTGTGATCCTATCCCATCCTATTTTATGGTTGCGTGTACCTGCATGTAGTGCTATAGCTGAACTAATATATATGGGCACTGTGGTAGTAAGTAATTCCATATTAGTTTGTTTATTAAATGTATCACACAGTGAAACAATATTATTTATTGGATGACGTTATCAGAAGGAACCTCGGAAACCAGCTTACACAGAATTCTTAACAAAGCAGGAATAAAGTTGGCTGGCATTCAAACCACTCACAAACTCAATTACAAACAAGCTTTGGTGGTTAAAGGATCCCGCCAGTGGAGCCTTTAAAACAAAACAATTTAGTCTATCTAATACTCTGGCTACAAAGATTGTCAGGTCAAATACATACGTCAAACTAGTAGAACAGGGCTCAGTCAGTCAGACTAGCGGAGCGTAAAAACCTAGCAAAATCTAGAATGGTTGACCCGAATAGGATAGAAAATCTAGAGAACAGGATAGTTCAGCTAAAGCACTCACTACATGCAATTACACACAACCATACAATAGGATGGATGGGATAGGATGACAGTTTCAAAATCTAATGTCACAGGGTGGAGGGAGAGATTGACAACGGAAGCTTTATTCATTATCGAATCAACTGCGAATCAACACGTGTAATAGGAATGAAACAACACTTGTGCACCCAGACATCTGGAAAATTCTACTACCCCAATGAATACGACAAATAGGAGAAGACAGAGAGAAAACTATAAAACTCAAGTTTCAAAGTCGTGTGACCACAATTGATATGATTACGAACAGTAATTGTGTTCAAAACCTTGTCATCCAGTAAATAATACTGTTTCACTCACAGTGTGATACATCTAATAAACAAACTAATACGGAATTAATGATGCTTACATAATAATCACGACCAGGATGTTATGTCGTGTTATGCTATAACTCATTATGCGGAACAGATTTCTTGTGTTGTATCAGGGTAGGCGTCATGAGGCGTAGTTGACGTATTGAAATACAGATTCGACCACCAGCAGACATCGTTTAGGGAGAACCCTTGGAAACCACTAGGTAATACTGGACATCTTTTCCACCCTAGTTCAGGACTTTTCAGCAGTAGGTACCCACCCACCACCGGGATTCGGACTCAACACCTTCCAGTTACACAATGCGAGCTTGCATGCAGACTATTCGGCCCTTGAGGTCTGACCCAATGGCCCAGTTACTTTAACCTCTGCCAATTAGCGATATATATATATATATATATATATATATATCGAAACCACCGGTCAACATCAACTGTGACAGTCTTTCCTTTGACCTGACTTAGAGGACATAACTGGTCATTACATCTCACTAGAACTTCAGCTAATCTTCTGTATATAGCCAGACATGCTAGAGATCATCAAAATTAAATGGAATAGGATTCGAATTATGAACTCATTGAGTGAAATGTCAGAAATGTGTTATTTTAATTTTATTTTTGACTACAGCTTGATTCCACATTGTATTTTTGGTACAAGTATGAAATTTTCAGCATGTGATATCGGTAGTCCAAATTATGCAGGCCGACCATAGATATCAGGTGTGCGTAGGCAGGGTATCAAACCTCGGACCATGTGCATGATCGGCGAGAGTCCTAACCACTGTGCCACTGGCGCACAATAAAGGAAGGACCGTGAGGCCTCCCCACTGACAAAAACTACACGTCCGAGCACACTCGATTAAGGTCCGTCGCGAGTTTCAACCCACTGAGGTGCAACGGTGAGTCTCCACCCGGGGTCAGAGCATTCTTGATCATGTTGAACCCGGCGTCAGGTGAATTGTGTTGCGCTAATATACATAACACTTTTCAGATAAACTACGTCTTCCTATTGTGTTTGCGAAATTCATAAAAGAAACTAGCTGCTTTAAATTCCAAATGTAGAACTTTGAACATACATGAAAAAAATTCAAGATGCCACACTCCCTTCGCGATACTTTTGAGTTCATTGAATGCATAAAAGATTTGAATGTTAATGACAAACGAATTTTATCACTAGACGTCGAACCTCTCTTTACCAACATGCCACTAACAGAGACAATTTGCTTCCTGTGCAATTATATAGAGAACTCCAATACAAGCGTCGGAATACCAATATCATATCTAAAGGAATTGTTACTAAGATGTACGCTGAATGTACAATTCACCTTCAGCAGCGACATCTACAGACAGAAAGACGGAATCGCAAAAGGATCTGCCCTTGGCCCGCTTTAAGCAGACTGCTTTATGACCAGTTTGGAGAGTGGAGTTTTAAAATCAACAATAAACAAATTACTACTATACAAAAGATACGTTGACGATACTTTTATAGTCTGCTACGATAACTCGGACTTCAATTGCATCTTACAAGAATTTAATAATTCCCATCCTTCAATTAACTTCACAATGGAATTAGAAACCTATTTAAAGATTCCATCATTTCTGGACGTGGAATTAACAAGAAGAGATGATGGAACCCTGAAGAGGTCCATCCACTAAAAGTAAGATTCTCTAGCCGTCCAATACTTCGAAACAACGCAAAGAACAAACTCTCGCATATGACCAATCCAATGTGCATACACCAGTCCACCTGCTCGTGTGGAGCTAGGCACATAGGTCGTTGTATGCGTGTCCTTTCAAAACGTGTTAGAGAACATTACCCAGAATGACTGCAAAGAGGAGGCACCGGTTCAATCAGAAGTGCCATTATTGAACATCTGATCAACACCTCCCCCACACAAAATCTCAACTGATTGTTTCAAAGTAATTTACAAAGTCAACAAAAACCTACCAAAAGCAGTATGTTTCCGACTTTTCTCTCTGTACTACAGAAGCCCTCGCAATATGCATCGAGAAGCCAGAGTTGTGTGTTCAAAAGAAATTAGTCCAACCATGGACCTAGTTCGGTATGTTCCCTATGCTTCCAGTTTTTTTATCTTTTTTCGTTCGCTGTAAGTGTGATTCTTACTCCCTATGTCTTCATTCGATTCACCCCATTTTTTCAGTTACAAAAACAGTTATTTTAAATTTGTTTCCATGCTTTTCCTGCTCATATTTATAATTCGTTTAAAATAACTATTTTACAATTATATCTTAATCCTGTGCAATTTTTGGTGTTTCTAAGGCTCTTGTAATCTATATTCACACCTCCTAACTTCCATCTCAAGTTGAAAATTATTATTTCAATTTTGTTTCCATGCTGGCTCATTTATACACACACTTGTTAACCGTTCTAATCCTGTGTTAATTTTGTTTCTAAGCCTCTCAGAAACCAGATCTAGTTGAAAACAATTGTCACCTTCTATTCGCCTTCGTAACTATCTATCCATGTAAAACTATTTATTTAAATGCAATTGTACAGGTACTTTTGAAAATGAAATCGCCAAAAAGACAGTTGTCTTTGCTGGATTTCGTGTTCTCTTCTTTCTAATGTCCTTATGGGTGTTTTTTTCCACGATTCGTAATTGTCACCTTTGTGTCCAACTTCGCATCCCTATTTCATTCAATCTCAATATAATTGAGAAATATAAAAGTGCTGACACCACAACACATATTTTGGCGACGGTACTGTTGAATTTATCAACGTTGGACAAATCTCTCTCAGAAAATCAGTTCAGTGTAGTCTGAACAGATGGAGAGGAGACAGCAGAAAATAGAACAAAGTGGAGATGTGTTGTTGAAGCCCTATTTTTCACTCAATGGAACCCAAAGGAATAATAACTATGATAATAGTTATAATAAAGGTGAATAATTACATCGCGGGTTGAAATCTGTTAGATAAACCACTGGAAAAACCTGAAATGAAGCACTGGACAGTTGTTTCTTCCTGGTGCTTGACGGACTCATCGGCAGTACTCATCCACCACCAGGATTCGAACCCTGGACTTTCAAGGAAGCGAGCTCGTAGAATATTCAGCCACTAGGACCCGCCTATCCAATCGCCAACCCATGAATCCTAACATACACCAATCTACTACTTCATAGTTTTACCGCCAGTGTCATCGCTGGCAAGCATTTGTCCTCACTCCACAGCACTTGGTGGACCCCACCGGTCTCGGCTTCTCACTAGAACTCCACGCAACTTCCTTCTATAGTCAGTCACTAGTGAGAACCATCTAGTATGAAAAGAATATCACTATTATTCCTAAATGTCGATGGGCTTGCCTCGTAACTTAAGAGTTCACGAGGTCAATTCGTCGACCGGTGGGTCATAAGTGGACATTGATGAAGAGTCTCAAACTAGTAATCCCCGGTGGTTTACAATGGTATTCTAACTGGTATCAATTCGTGGTCAAACTCGAAATATCACTATTATTATTATTGGTAGTGGTAGTATTAAGGTTAAGAAAAAGGAGTAACTAACCTTCATCATACGTTTAACTGAATAGGCCAATGATAATGTAACAGCCAATGGTAAACCTTCCGGTACAGCAACAACCAAAACTGTAACACCAGTAATAATATAATTGACTATTTGTTTTAAATGTTTTCCAGTTTGCCATGGTTCTTTATTCTGTGCAAATGTATGCACACAAAATTTGATAACTAATATCAATACAGTAGCTATAGCAACACATGTACCTAAAAGGAATAAATATACACAAATAGAAATGAAAAAACAGATGAAAAATATATACACAAATTTGGTGAAAGTAGTGTTTAAATAAATGGTTGATAAAGGTACCAGTAATTACTTAACTTATCCGGCTGACGAGTCCCAAATGGGACGAAATATGCATCCTAAAGGACTGCACTGCTAGTCACACTATCCAATCAATTTACTTCATTTGAAGTAATCAGATATCGTCGAAGCATCTGGACAACAAGAGGACGGCATGTTAACCAGGGACCCAGAACTTCGGTTCGCAATCAGTCACAACGAGAAAGTCAAAATTAAGTTGAACAATTTCGTAGTTATTGTCTTTCTTCCCCTGACCTGTGCAGAACATCATTCTAACATTGACTGATCTCCTTTCGACTTATTCCATATGATGACTTGTCTTTGTTTTTTGGTTGATTCCTGTATTTAATGCTTCATTTTGTTGTTGTGTGATGGTCGACTGACAGTGAGGCCAGCAATTACGCCTTCGAATCTTTGTCTAAGGATAGTAACGCAAGCCACAGAAGACTAGTTAGAATAACCACCAAAACCAGTAGATTCCCATCTACATCAAGTCATAGGTTCCTATATTTCTGCGACGTCTCTTGTCTATCTGTATGCCAGGCCGTCAAACTCTGAGGTCCGCCTCTAGACGACTTACCACTGTGACGCGTACTACATAGATGCAGACGGACAGGAAGCGGCCAAAATTGAAATAAATATTTTAAGTCAATGACTGCAGAGGTAGAAGTTCGTATGGCCCAAATCCGGATTAAGTTTACGTTGTGGTCATAAAGTGATCTTATTGGACAACTCTTTTTGTACAGTTATCTAGCCTTGAGCCAACTGACAACCAATTAGAAGAATTTATTGTCCGCTGACCCTGCTGACTTTTAATGCGGACAAAAATTCATAAATAGGATACAATTTTACTAGATAAAAAAGTGTTCGTTGCCGATTCTCTCATCTCCTGCCGTCACACCAAGGCGGTTCAGTAAAAATTGTATTGTGCAGCAATTTTTAGCCAATTTATCAACAAACCCCAGGTATGTAGGAAGAGCAAATGGATGAGGTTGTGAAGTTGTTACGATTAAGGATAGCTAGAACATGTGTTATGCATGCGAAGTCATAAATTTTCTCTATAGACAGTGTTAACCCATCTAAGATACGGTTCAGGAAGAGGTAGTGCGCCAGTCAAACGAAAAACACGGAATCAGTCCATGAAATCTTCGAGCCTTACTTTCAGCTAGTGCCATGTATGAATGTGTAGACTAACTGGTTAGGGTAGTGAGGATGGGAAGAAGAAGCAATCGATGGAGACAACTGATGACATAGCTCAAAATCCTTGTTGCTAATGGCGAAGATGCATTCAATATTTGTGATCAGTCACATCTATGAAGTAACCCTATTTTTTTCCCCAATGGTACTATTCTTTCTCCTTCTGAAAATTCCTCCTTCTTACAGGGTTCATTGGGGGAGTCTCTTTCCTTTCTATTCTACCCTCATTTGTGTGCTACACAGAGTTCTATGTTAAAATCAATAAGCCAGTCATTTTGTAAGTGGAGGTGCTTAAGAGCCAGTAATCAGTCACATTTTGATTGGACACTAGTAATTAGTGTGACGTGTCTAGTCCTTTCTTAGGTGCAGACTGAATTGTATCAATCAGGTTTTGCAATGTAGCCACCAGACTAGGCAGCTTGCCATCACACTGCACTCTGAATTGTTCATATTATAAGATTGTTGGAGGCAATCACCCACAGGAAGCCTTCGACCTAGGTTTCGTGCTAGTTGGCACTCTCACCAATCAGCAAGGCGTATCTGCAACCCTGAAGGAACTCATGATGGCAAGCTACCTAGAATGGTGGCCACATTCAATCTGCACCAAAGAAAGGACTAGACATATCACACTAGTTACTACTGTGCAATCAAAATACCCACTACAGTCCTACAGGAGGTCAACCACGAGCCAGTCCGAATAGCTCAGTGGTAACGTCTCTGATTGCAGTACTGGATGGCGCGGGTTCGAGTCTCAGAAGAGACATGAGTTCCTTCAAAGGTTGCATATACACCTTGATGATGAGTGCCAACTAGCATGAAACCTAGGTTAGGCAAGGCTTCCCGCCGATCGCCTCCAACTATCTGATATCATCAAATCAGTCACATTTCCAAAACAACTAATGATAGTCAGTCGAGTAGGATGAAATGAAGTGACTACCTTCCAGAAATACATAAATAAATAAATAAATAATAACGTTTTACTGAGTTTATTTCTTAGGGATTTAATTTGTTTCAAGTCTGGTAGGTTCTGGGTTCGAAACCCAATGTATGGATTCGTTCACATACTGTCGATGAGTCACACACTAGGATGAAACAGTCGTCCAATCAATACACCCTCCAATTTGTAAAAAAGTAAAATTAATACCATTACTCATTCACTATGTGAAATAATCATAAATGTGAAATTTAGTTTCAAGTCTAATCACCCTCGTTTTCCCCTCTTTTTTTGCAAACTTTCAGAAATTTATACTTCACATAATTCTTAGTAATAATCATCCCATCATTCATCGTCATTGGTTAGACGACGACAGAAATTATGTCATTTTAATTATTTCTGCGAATTTTTCAAATTGACGAAGGCAGAAAGAGACAGTGAGAAAAAAAGAGGAGAGTATAGGATAGGATAGGATAGGAGAGGAGAGGAGGAAATCACTTTAACGATTACAACAGGACTATAATAATAATAATAATAATAATCCGAATGGTAATCCGCCTTTTGCCCTATTTGCTAAGCAATTTTCTTCGTTTCAAGATACCATCATCAACTGACATCGGTTAGAGAACGATTGGAAAACCTGGACTGAATTACTGTACAGTTGTTTCGTCTGTTTAGTTTTGACACCTCACAGAAAGGTTGGACCTACGACCTTCTTGGCTACAAGGCGAGTTACCCCATAGACTATTAAGCCACTGGAACCCAATCCAGTGGTCAATTTATGATATGGTGCGACCATTAGCCAATGAATGTCATCGCTAGAGAGTATTTGTCTTCACGCTCGACCTGAAGTACCCCATCAGTTATGACTTTTAGAGATTATGTGGGGAATAGCCTTTGATTTGGTGGACAAGTTTAGTGATGTCATTACTCCCTTGGGATGTGTGTAGAATAAAGAAAGCTTCAGCTGTCTCTACGACTGTAAATGAGCTTTCATTTACTCTTCACACGATCACTTGTCACCATGTTATCTCGAAACGCTTCACTTGTCTGTTCTCTCTTATTTGTGTTTCATCAATCTATGGCTTGCATGGTGCGTGGTGTCATTTATTGGTTTCCTCAGAGTTCGTCTGATTCATCTCCATTGTAAATTCGGAATATTTAGTTGAGTAATAGGTTCACATCATCTACCAACCAGAGTTTCCTGTGGCTGATTCCTTCTCTTATCTTCCCTATGAGGCTAACAAACAGGGTAGCTGTCGACAAAAGTCTGCAGATGGGTGTTGATGTTGGAAATGTTTGTGATGGCGTATCAAGTTTCTGACCTATAGGCAAGAAATGATTGACTTAAAATTAGTTTTGAAAATCCGAATGTTGTTGCTGTTTTCTGCTGAGTGTAACACATTCCTAAACTAATTAAAGAATGATGACAGTTTGACCAGGCTTCTCGACGCTGGCTCCGAAATCTTCATCCATTTCACCGCCTGCCTGTAGTTGAAACGATACTGTCTAGGTAAGTGAAAGAAGTGACTCCTTCTTGCAAATTTCTCCAGCTGATAGTGAATAGTACTTGTGATATTCACCTCTGTCTTCTCTGAATTCACTTAAAATCATGTCCTCTCTACTTTTTCTGTCGTAATAGGCGATGTAATAGGCGATGAAAATGAAATGTTCACTTTGTAATTAGGGACTTAGATTTCTACTGTTGATATATGGATGATACATTTCTGGCTTTGAAAGACGAGAATGATGCAATGAACAACATCCTTGACAAGTTTAATGATGCACACTCAGCAATAAACTTTACCATAGAGAAAAAAAAAAGTAATGACAGTATCTCATTCTCAGACGTCCTCGTGGCAAAGAAAGAAGATGGCACACTAAGTCGGAGTGTGTATAGGAAACCTATAACAACAAGTCAGTACATTCATTTTTATTTTTTGAGTTTTGTACCTTTGAAATATATAAACGCGTAACCTGGTAAAGTGTCTGGTTCATAGAGCTAGGTTAATCTCTTCAGATGACTGCCTCAATGAGGAGCTTAAGATTATTAGAGAATTACTTAGAAATAAATGGTTATCCAGACAAGTTTATTGAGAAAAATATGAATTCAGCACCTGGGAGACTCAGTATGGCAACAGTTCCGAAAAAACCACCGTTCATATAAAACTGCAGTTCCTCGGAGACAACAATAGCGAAATAATATCACAGCGCCTGAAGAATGAAGTTAAAAGAGCTTATTATTATGCAGCAGAGGCACGTTGTCTCTTCACAACCACCGCTATTCTACGTTCGAGAAATAAGGATAAACTACCTACATTTACCTCCTCCTCTATGTGTATCTACCAGTTTGACTGCAGCTGTGGAGCTAGCTACATTGGGCGTACAATTAGGCAGGTGTTCAGCATCGTATTTCTGAACATCATCCAGTAGCATGGTTAAGCAAGGGACAAACAAGATCTACTCTTAGCTCTATTTTAGCACACCTTGTAGACAGTGAGCATAAGGTTGACGTTAATACAGCATTTAAAATTATTTATCGCATTCCGGCTAATCTTAATTTTGCTTCACGAGTTCGTCTTCTACATACCTATAGCTGAAGCAATCAGAATTCACTGAAGAAGCCAAGCCTGTGCGCGTTCAGAAGAAATTTGTACATCCACTTTCCTTACCTTGCCGCCCATCGTTACATGAGTGCATAAACAGGACTACTTCGCCCCCCTCCTCCTAAACCTTTAAAAATAATGATTGTCCAAATTATTTTATTTT